GGGCTGCTCTGGAGGACCGAGGCTGTCTGCTGCACTTGTGCAGGGACCCCTTCTCAGCTGGGTTCTAGCACCCACGGAACCAAGGATTCCCTGATCAGCTGGGAGCTGCCTTTCAGGGTGCGAGCAAGCCTCGGTTTCGGGAGGACTGCGTCACAGAGTGCAGTGAGATGGAGTTGAGACATGACTCAGGCGCTCAAAGTGAAAATAAAAGTGATGTTTTGCCCCAAGAGGAGATGGATATCATGCAGACTGGGTGCTGTGGGGGTGACTTGTCAGGGAGAGCCTGCGTGAGCCTTCTCAGCCCCGCTGTCTGCCGGGGCGCTTGGAGGGATTGGGGCAAGGGCAGAATTTCAGGGGACAGGGAACCCTTTCGTGGCCATGGCAGGAAGACTGAGGGTGGCAGGCATGGCCAGGCCTAATCTGATCAATTTCAGACCTTTTCCTTCCACAACCATCAGTGCTCTTAACCTTTTTTAGGTCACATATTCCTCCAGGAATCTGATGAAAGTCTAAGTCTAATTTCCCTAGAAAAATACACAAACTTACGAAATGGTACAGGCAATGTCAGGACTTGCAGGACATCGGAGAGGCTGAGGATGGGCCTGAGGATGCTTGTATTGGAAAAAAAAGGAGATGAGGCTCTACACCTCTAATGCCTGGATCTAAAAGGCCTGGGTGCATCACCGAGGAGACAGGGCTTTCGTGCTCTGCGTGCAGCTTCAGTCCAAGTGCCTAGTGGGACAGGAAGTGGCAGTGCCCACAAGGTCTGGACCTCACCACCCATAACACTGTGACACTGGGCGGGCTATAGCACCTCTTTCCCCCCCCCACCTGTAACCTGGAGATAAAAAAGGGCTGGGAGGATGAAATGAGATGGTTCTCATAAAGACATAGTGACAAGCCTGGCACACTGGGGTCATTGTTGCCCTCAGACGAACAGGCTGAAGCTGACCTGCCACGTCTTTACCTTTTGTCTGGAGTTTGCCCAGCTTGGCAGAGGGGGCTGACCAAGCCCTGCCCCCCACCCCACCCCGCCAGGCTGGCAGGGATATGCAACAGCTCCTGTTCTGTTGGGATAAGCAACGAAGGTGCCTGCAGGGCCCATCCTTCAATTGGTGACCCAAGGTCCCTGTCAGCCAGGACACTGCTGTTACCACCCAGAAACCGAGCCCCCATTCTGGGAGCCCACTTCAGATCACTGGCACGGTGACTGCCTGAGGCAGCTGGGCTGGCCCTGCAAGGGAACATGGGGGTCTTTGGATCTCCTTCTGAAGGGCCCTGGCTGCCCAGCTGGAGAGGAGGACACGTGCCTCTCGAGGGCTTCCTGGCACCCTGCCCAGTGAGGCCTGGCTCCTGACTGCAGGCCTTTGAACAGCTCGTGGTAGGGCTGGCAGTTCCTCCCCCGCCTGCTGGGCAGCCAGTTGAGGGGACGTGGGCTGGAATCAGGGCCCTGGGGCCTCTTGATGCCACTAGACGAAGGTCGCTCTGCAGCATATGATTCACATAAGCCAGGAACTTGATTCCAGTTTCCCTAGAGGGCTGAGGTGGGGCTGTCTCTTGGGACCCGGAGACTAGCTCACTCCCTCCTCCCTTGACCCCAATCCTCCTTCCTCCCATGGGAGAGAGAAATGGAAGCCCAGACCTTAGGAGCACAGATGCTTGTTTGGAGGCAAAAGGCAGGCCGCAGCGACGCCAGCTGCAGGCTCAGAGTGGGCCCGGGCAGTGGGACCAGAGCTTCCCCGCAGACCCAGCCTTCTCGAAGACCAAGATCAGGGGAAAGGGTTGGGTTCCAAGAGGTGGAGAAGGAGGATGCCTCCACCAGCCTTTGACGTGCTCTGGGCTTTGGATCCCACTCCCAGGAGAGGTTAGTTAGAGAGGCAGAATTACCCTGCAGCCTGTGTAATCACTGGGCTGCACAGAAAGAGGCTCAGAAGGGGATTTTACTTGAGAAAGGGGTGCGGGAGGAGGGAGGGAGGCTGGAGAGCTTGCAACCCACTCTT